GGCGGTTCCTTGAAGGACGAATCAGGTGGCTGTTCCAAGTGTCTTTGGTGGAATCCAGATCTTCCTGTAAAAGTCACAAACAGTGGGAAGCCTTGTTTTAAAGGATTGTTTGTTAAATCATATATGTGTGTGTGTGTGTGTGTGTGTGTGTGTGTGTGTGTGTGAAAGAGAGAGAGAGAGAGAGAGAGAGAGAGAGAGAGAGAGAGAGAGAGAGAGAGAGAGAGAGAGAGAGAGAGAGAGAGAGAGAGAGAGTCACTATTTACCTGGATCAAGCCCAGGAAACAGAATAAAAAAGGTTCTTGTCCAACCAGCTGCCATCAAATTTGCCTTCATCTTTAATTTGGTGAAAATATTCAAGTCACACTCTTTTCTAAGAATACCCCACCAGCTCTCAATTCTCTGGTTGGCCGTACTTTTTCCATAGATAAAGCTTCTTTCTCCAGCCAGTGGATCATCATCGCTACGTCGCAGATAACGCTGCATATCCCTAATGGTGCTGTTCTCTGTTCCCATATGGATTCGAGGACAGCCTCCAAGACTTCTTACTGTCTCAAGGAAGTAACCCCCAATGACTTGAGGGTCACTGCTTGTGCAGTATGCATTCAACCATAGTATTCTCCTTGCAAATCCATCAATTGCTCCATTGATACAAATGCCAAATGGCTTCAATTTGTCATAAGAGTCAACATGCCATATAAAGTTGGGGCCTTTTGAAAAGTACGCTCTTCTGTGCAGTCTTCTTTTTCTTCGCATTTCAGTGCCCAATGGGTCAAGAGTGGACAGAATGAGGCGGGTGTCTTCTTTGCGCACATGAAGTCCTCTTTCCTTGCATTTACTGTACATCCATCTATATCCATGCAATGCTCCTGAGCCTTGGAGCTCTTCTCCAATAAACTGAATAACATCAAACAAGTTGTCATAATTTTTTCTGCGAAATAGTCCATTTCTACCTAAGATTTGTTTAAGTGTCTTCATGCTGATAATAATCCTGTGTTTAACACTTAAAATATGAAGGATTTCTTCATACTTTAGACCCAAGTCAAAGTAATGTTGAATTAGTCCAAATCTGTCCATCAAGAAATAAATGATGAGTTGAAGGTGGATGGAAGCCTAAGGATAAAGAGAGAGAGAGAGAGAGAGAGAGAGAGGGAGAGTCATTGGGGAGTATTACAATTTACTTGGTTAAATTGTGATGGTTTAATTTACTTGTTTCTTTTAAAGTCCTTTTTTTATTGGGGGGTATAATAGAATAATCAAAAAAGACTTCACATATGAAAAAAGAAATATAACACAAACACATTTCCAAAACTGTAAAAAGTTAGGTTATATAAAAATTAAAAATAAACTCAAATAATAATAATAATTTAGGCTACCTATTTAGAAGATGCTTTTATCGAAAATTATTTACAAAAAAGTAACAAGTAATTAGTCAAATGTCATTCATAATACAGGTTAGACATTTTTTTTTTGTTGTGTATTAAGTGGAATACATAATATTGTCTTAACTGCATCTTAACGCTTAAAGTGAATAATAATTATTATTATTAGTTTATAACTATAAATTAGTCTATCACTTAAGACAGTGAGTCTAGATCACTTAAGACAGTAATATGTTTATCATAAATTAATTTATGAATGCTTTATTTTTAAGCAAAAATTATGGAAAGAATATGGGCCTTTTTATCCAAACTATTAGGTTATAGCCCATAAAAATAAAACATTGATAATTTATTTTATGACAAACATGTTACTGTATTATTAAGTGAACTCATTTAGTTATAAACTCGAATAATAATAAGGATAATAATAATAATAATAATAATAATAATCATTACATTTTAGGCAACATTTAGAAGAGGCATAAATCCAAAACTTCCACAAAAAAAAGGTAAAAAGCAATTCGTCAAATGTCAGTCATAATACAGGTAACACAATAATAATAATAATAATAATAATAATAAAGTGGGAAGATTATCACAAATAAACAAAAGATTTTGATGCAAGTCATTCGATTCATTTTAAATCAATCGTATAGGCTATTCCACCCCATACCCTCTACAAATGAGAATCACTTGAAGCATGCAGACGCAGTTAAGACAATTGCATATGTAGGCCTATATTACACTTAATATACAATAAAACAATATACAATAAGATTCGTTAACAACGTACCTCCTGGACTGGTGTTCTTCGAAAATGAGATCGAGCCACAAATCCGTGAGTACAGTTTACAAACCCGTGGAAACGGATTGCGAAATCGTGGGTACGGTTTATGAATTTGTGGGTACAGATTACAAAAACTGAGGGCACGGTTTACAAATCTGAGAGCACGGATTAGGAACTCGTGGGTACGGTTTATTAATCCGTGGGCACGAATTGTTAAACCGAGGGAACAGTTCAAGAATCCGTGAGTACGGTTTATAAACTGAGGGGACAGATTGCAAAACCGTCGCCTCGGATTTTTTTTTTTTTCCCCATAGGTGACTTCCCGGGCTCCGTACAAGGCGTCATATAGTGACGCTTTTGACAATGCGTATAAATCCAACGCACATGGCACCCTTTAGCGTCAATATGAGACGCAGATATATATGGGCCAAAAGGCGCCTCCTAGTGGTCTATCCCTAAACCTACCCATAACCAAAATGTGTTATATTGACACTAAAGGGTGCCATGTGCGTTGGATGTAGCCTATATGCATTGTCAAAAGCTGTAGTTGAATATGTGGAACAATCATAAGTTCATAAATAAGACTGCTGCTTCTGTAGTCAAGCTATTTCTAATAAATCAAAAATTTGCTAAGTTAAATATCACTTTCTTCACCTGTTTTTTAAAAGAAAGATGAGAATCTATTATTATTTCTAAATTTCTAAACTAAATAGACTCTATATTATTCCTTTTGTTCTGATACTGACCAAGAGGAAAAAATGATTGTAGTAAATAGTGCTGATTAAATCGAACAATTGCTTATCATATTGTGTAAACCTGAGCAAATTATACTTTGTTCTCAAATTGTTAATGTCCAACATCAGCATTGCGTGACTACATTTAATGCCCTTCCGATATTTTTTTCCTTTTACAGCGGGTAAATCTGGTGTCACTGGTGACTGTTTAAAATCTTTCTGGATCCGCCATCAAATTGATAACTTTAATTATATCAAGTGCTGTGAGAAAAGGCTATAAATCTCCAACTCCGGCATCCTCACACATAATATAGTCTACTAGCCGAGACTCTTTCTTTATGTGTACAGATGTGACGTAGCCTACTGACGCAAATACATGCTCGAATCTCCCGTGGAAATCCACCAGTACCACTGGAGTTAAAAACATTAATACAAGCTTACCGCTTTGAATCGAGCTAAGGCAAGCAGATAGTTTTGAACACTGGCTGGTTATTTATTTGCTCAAAATTTTATTTTGGAAAATTTTTAAACCAAAAGCTACGGACTACAGTTTTAAGAAGCCATTGTGAAATCAAATCCATGGTATCAGTCAACAGAACAACATCATCAGCATACATTTGACAAATAACATCTGGAGGACAAACATTTGGTAAATCATGTACATACTAAACAACAATGGACCCAAAATAGAACCTTGTGGAACTCCAATATTATAATCTCAATATTCTGATGTTGCATTTATAACTCTTACAAAATAAATGCAACATCATTTGTGTTTTCTATTTTTTTTTAGATAGGATTTGAACCACAATGGCCTTAGTAAAAAAAAAAAAAAAAGTAAATTAAATGAAAATATGATTACAGGAATATTTCAATAGCTGTAAAGCAAGTCTTTTCTGAATTTGCTGTTTAGTACTTGCAAAACAAATATTAATGTCTTATTCTGCATGACCATATTTTACATCTTACATATTCTATTCCTTAATCCTAATACATAAACTTAACAGCTACCTTACTAACTATTAATAAGCATTTACATTGTAAAAAATATATTGTTGGTGTAAAAAAAGTAAGTTTGTTGCCATGCCTAGTTCATAAAAAAAGAGTTAATTCAATGAAGGAAATTGGTTTAATAAACAGAAACTAAACATATGAAATCTGAACCAAATGATGAAAAGAAAAAAAAAAGTTGTGATAAATCATGAAAATAATTGTTAAAAAATTACACCCCAATCTAAAGTGCGACTGAAAATTAAGTGCATGGAAACATGGAAATTGAACTTTAAGAATCACATGAACACATGAGCTTTTTCTGCCAAAAATAGATGTTAAAAGATGAGCTCTTCCCAGCGGCAGAGTGCATGTTACTTTTGCAAG